CTACATAATCTGTCCTTTTTTCTGCTCTGTTGCCAACATGTACAGTAATGGGAAATCCAGAGTCTTGCCCATTTAGCGTTAGCTGTTAGCTTCTCCAGCCGATCACATGGTCACGTGGTTTCTGCGCACTCCAGTTCTATAGAACCTCCTTGTTGTAAGCTTTCCAAAGAACCTCACTTCTAAAGATTTGAACTACTGCTTTAATTGTCCTGATGCATCTCAGTAATCTGAGATACTACTTTAATTGTTCCTCATGTCCTCAGGGGAACCGAAGTTTTAAGAGAAACCAAAAAAACTGTGCAGAGATTAACGCTCTAAAACCTCTGGATTTTGACCATAATGTATGATTTAGTCCGTCCCGGCGTGCTTTTCTCAGCAAGCTTGGAGAATCCCACTCCCTATCTTCTTATTATTGTGTAAACAAGAATCCCAACACACACTCACACATATCTCTCCGGGGGAAGGAGTACAAAGCTGGAGGCAGGGGAGACAGAAAGGTGGGAGGGCAGGCAGGGAGTCTCCGTGGAAATCTGGATCTGTTTATTTGTCATTGAAGTGTGTGGCAAGGTTCGTGCGTGCATCCAAGAGACTCCCGAAAAGCTTAAAACCTGCTTTGGATGACACAAATGGATCCAAACTAACACAAAAGAATGAAGACACACGTTGCTTTTACTGTGCTTTCCCTCATCACACACACACACACACATATAGTGTTCAGAGATGAATAATGCTGCTGTGTGTCTGGTGGGATGCACTACTGTCCCCAGAGTGGATTGAAAGCAGGGATATTGTGCTGAAACAGGCACACACACACACACACACACACACACACACACACACACACACACACACACACACACACACCTTCAGAGAGGCTCGATGTTCTGTCTCCAGGTGACTCTTTTCCTTTTATAGAGCGAGAACACTTTCCACCCCTTCTTTATTTCTTTCTTTCCTGTATAAATGCTGTACTGAGCACACACACACTCACATGCAGGAAAAACAATAGAGTCCCCACACCGGAATAAACGCAAACCCTCTGTGACTCGTGCTCTGAAAAGCATGCATGCTGTAACTGTTCTTGCTCTGCGGAAACCAGAGTTTGAATATGAGCAGACTGAGTCATGGAGGAGACAAGTTTAAGATTCACCAAATACAAGGAGGAAAGCATTGCTTGGGTTGTTTGTTAAAGAAATAAATTGTAACATCAGTGTTGGTATAGTGGGAAAAAAGAGAGATTCAAAATCTGAGCAAAAAGTTTAAACAGTGAAATAGTGTAATGACCCTGAATGCATCACTGTATTTTAATGCATAAACAAGATGTGGGCACAGTTCCCCTAAAGCACTAAAGCACTAATAGGGGAACTAATTTCTTGATTAGTGCTTTAGGCCTTTTGCTCATTTTTAAATTCGTTAGTGGATTAGCACTTGCTAAATTTATGGGCTAAATTTAGAAGCACTAACTGAGGTCTTTAAATGTTATTGATCAACATTATTGTTCACAGTTGAGTGTGAAAACTGTCACATTGTGTTTATATGGGTGTCACTTATCTACAAGGTCGCATGTCAAACTCAAGGCAAGCGGGCCAAATGTGGCCTGCAGGTGAATCCTATTTGGCCCGCCAAGGACACTAAGTGACAACATTGTCTCATGTTGACTGAAGAATGTTTCATGTGTCAACTGGGTTATATTAGTGCTTTAGAATTAGCTTTTACTAAATTTTTCAGCGAGTTAGTGCTTTAGGGTTAGTGCAACGAATATTAAGATTAGTGCTGCCCACCACTGCATACAGTATAAAGTTTTTCCATCTAAGTCCCAGTTTACACAGTGCTGTTTGTTGAGTAGATGAACAACAGTAACAATGGTGGTTAGCAGCACTCTGCCCATTTCAATATAAAGGAGCAAACCCTCCTCATCCTCGGTCCAAACAAAGTTTCATGTACTGACCATTTTGGATAACTAAGTTCAGATGCTGACAGAGATACACACATGAAATAACACAAATTAAGCTCTCTAAATGTAGACAACAACTGGAACCACTTTTAGCAAGTTTTAATGATGAAGTTAGGTTCATAAACAGACTATATTTATATGAACATCAATGTTCATATAAATATAAATATTTGTGAGTTTACAGAACATATTTCCTTATTTTTTAAATAAAAAGGGAGTAAGTTTAACTTTTACTGATGATAAATATTGAAACAGGTCCTAAATATTAATTCAGAAAATGCAAAATGTTCAAACCCAAGGCTCAACACCACTAACCACCACGTTTTGTTCTTTCCCTGTGCCTCTACCCTACAGAACCCCTGATCCCTCCTCCCCCGTCCCACCTCACCTCACCTCTCCCTCCCTGCGCCAGCTACTGACTGAGCTATGCAGTCCTTCCGCGAGCGCAGCAGTGGCTACCACAGCAATCAAACCTGCTATCAGCAGGAACCCCATGAATTATCTCGGCTGGAGACCTACCGGCAACACCCACATCATCCCCATCCCCAGCACCCGCATCCAGGCCCTGGTCCACATCCAGGACCAGGACCGGGGCAGAGCAGGTCGGGCTATGAGGCTCATACTTTGGCAACTACGGCTACCATGCCTTCAGCCGGGGGAGCAGGAATAGGAGGAGGACCCAAAGACTGTTACAGCCAGCAAAACTACGCTGCTTACCAAGGAAATACTGGAGGAAATGGGAATGGGGGCTCGGCAGCCTCTCAAACAAAAAAGCCCTTCAGAGGAAGCAAAGTACCCCCACCAAACACAAGTCAGCACTTGCAGGGTCCTGGGGGCTACAGTAACCACATGGGCCCTGGGACTTATTCAGTCCAGTATATGAGTGAGGGACACCTCCAGCAGAAGTGGGAGGACCCAGCCCAGTTAGCACAGTACGACCAGGAAATAGTGGGACGTCTGGAGGCTAGTGCCACACCTGCACCCAGCTCCTCCCAATTCGTGGACTCAAACATGCTAGGACACTCTCAAACCCAGTGCCATCAGCCTTCGACCCCAAACTACACAAGCCCCCACCACCAGCCACACCCTCCTAACCCAGCCCCTTCACCTCTCATGTATCCCCAGAGTCACTTACACTACCCCCAGCACTCCCCCTCGCCATCACCATATATGGAAAAATGCGGCCCTATGTCCCATTGTTATAAAGGTTATAACATGCCGCCAAATTCCCAGTATGGCAGGCAGATGGGTAGCCACAGTAGTTTGAAACAGGGGGCTTATAGGTCTCCCCAGAACAGCTACGGGTACCAGCAGTCAAATCCTAGAGGGTATGAGCAACAGCCCCCTTTACAGGCAATGACCAATCCCCAAGAACCCCACCCTAAGTACCAACACTACAACCAACCACAGCAAAACTACTGTCTCTCAGAGCTGCCCGTCAGATCTCCAGAACAATATTATCAAACTTGTAGCCCCTCCTCCAGCCACTCCCCTGCACGCTCGGTAGGGCGCTCCCCGTCGTATAGTTCCACTCCTTCACCTCTAATGACCAATCCAGAATCATTTCAATATGGCCAACCGCCCATGACGCCTGGGGCAGCCTCCTCTTCTTCATCCTCCTCTGCTGGGATGCAAGAGCAAGCCAGTGCCAACACAATGTTGTTGCCCCCACGGTCACACCCATCACCCAACATTCCCCATGCAACCCCTCACAGCTACTCAACCACACCGCAGGTACCCACCATGAAAGAGCGATTCTCAGAGAAGCTGTTGTCAAATCCCAGCTTGTGGAGTCTGAATGCCCTCACCTCCCAAGTGGAAAATATCTCCAATAACGTCCAGCAGCTGCTCCTGTCAGAGGCATTGGTTGCAAATAAGAAAGGCGGTAAGCGCAGCAGTGGTGGGAGCAACAGCAGTGGTGGAAGTGGAGCATCCTCCAAGAAGGGTGAAGAATACAAAAGTCCTCCTTATCCAGATGGTTGTGGGAATGTGGGCGGGGGGTCCATACAAGACCCTTACTCTACCCCACAGCACCAATCTTTGCCCATGGAACTTCACGAGGGTGGCTACTCCAGCAGTAGTGATGAACCACTGGACAGGGGCTACTATTACTTTGGCCAGGGCAGAAGTCCAGCCCAGGCTCATAACAACACCCAACTCAGTCTGGACACAGCCTCCTCATGCTCCATTGCATCTCCAGATGATATGTCCACCAGGTCTGGGGACTCAAGTCTACACAACCTTACCCCTGACCCCACTAGATGTCAGATGGGACAGGGAGGAGATGGCATGAGTACTCCAGCCAAGAGCCTTGGTGATGAGACATCCCCAACAAGCATCGCAATTCAAAGTCCTATGAAGCAGGAAAGAGATTCTCCTTCAGATACACAACATATAAATCAGCCCATCAAAGAAAATTTTGAAGAGTCAGCATGGACAGAGAAGTCAGCTGAAAAGGATGAAGTAAAAACAATAAAAACTTGTGATTCTGTGAGAGACTCAGACACAACCAATCCAACAGAGAAGCAGGAGAAATGGTCAGATGAAGAAAAATCTCCACCTCCTTACAGCAAAGTACCCTCAGAGATGACAGAAAAAAGCTATTGCTACGAGGAGACAACATACCAAGATGTTCAGGGTAAATATGACTCTGATGCAAGAGATTCAGTTGAACAGTCCCCAGCAGCGCTCTCTGACTCTAGCAACAAAGACCACTTTGGTCAAGAGATAAAATCAGAGGCATTCAAATCAGAATCTCCAACTGCATCTGAGAGCTCTGTAAAAACGTTGCCTTTCACTTCAAGGGAAGACCTTGAGCAGGATCGATATTTCACAGAGAAAGAGGAGAGCTCTGAGAACACCTCTCCAACCCCCAAAGTTGAAGCCTTGGAGGACAGTAGCTCAGACAAAAGTGAGAGCAGAGATCAGCAGAATGAAAAAGAGGAAGAGGACGAGGGAAGAGGAAAAGAGAATATTGAGGAGGAGCAGTGTGATATACAAAAAACAATAAAAACTTCTCTTTCTCCTCTTTTGACAGAAGAGGATGGAGAGGAACAAGAAGAAGAGGAGATAGAAAGCCAGTTGTTGACACAAGAGCACATAAATAGTAGCAATAGCCAAGAGGATCGTTCAGGAGATTTCAACGGCAAGAAAGAGAGTCAGAATTCTGTGCTCAGTACTGACAGTGACTTTGCAGGAGCACCTGAACATCTAAATGCGGCAGCAGCAACCACAGCAGCAGATACTTCTACTAGAGAGACAGCCATTGGTGACACGGCCCCTCAGTCTCATTCTGCCACGCCAGTCTTCTCCGCTCTCAATGAGAAGATAGCACCTCCAGGTCAGACTAGGGATCATATTGATCACGGCGATGCTAAAGTTCTGGAACCAGACTCTCCTCAGCTGCCAGGAAAGTCAATACTACCCTCAGCCCCATCCTGGGCAGATACTCCGCCTTCTCCCAAAAAAGGCGATGAGGATATAGAACCAGGCATCAGCTGTGCCAGCGCTGTGACCCCACTGGCCAAACCAGAACCTGTGTCCCCATCTGCTCAACCACGGGCATTTGGACGTAAGCATGCCAGGGGTAGAAGGAGAATAATGCATTCGGGTGTAGGAATACAACGACAACTAAGTTTGGAAAGAGAAGGAGAAAAGGAAGAGGAAGGGGCAAACTCCCCTACACAAAAAACATGTATGCCTCCGAGCAAAACTGTTTTATTCTCTGACCAGACAAACTTAGCACAACAGGAACCTATCGTTAGCCAGACTCCCAAAATGTCCACGGATGCATTTCAATCAAGAATGTGCACTCGTTCATTCAACGCACCGGATATGACACCCAAAGTTGAACCTAACGTGAAACGAAAACCAGGTCCCAAACCAGGTTCTAAACCTGGGCCAAAATCAGGAGCAAAACCAGGGCCAAGACCAGGACCTAAACCTAGTGTAAAGTCAGGCTCAAAACCAAGTCCAAAACCTGGAACAAAACCAGGACAAAAACCGTTGTCAAGTGAACCTGAAACGTCCCCCAAAATTGAAATCACTGTAAAACAAAAACCAGGGCCCAAGCCTGGTTTAAAACCAGGATCAAAGCCTGGTTCAAAACCAGGTTCTAAGCCTGTACCTAGGTTTGGCGATGTTCTGTCTTCAACAGACACTGTACCAATCAAGGCCCCAGTGGGTCGTCCCAGAGGTTCTAACTCTAAAGCAAAGTTCGAAACCCAAGAAGACACAATTCAACATTTCACAGAACTGCAAAGCAAAGGCAGAAAGGGTCTAAAAGTTGCAATATCCCAAAAGAACCAGGATGTAAAGTCAACAGAACAACAGGAAAAACAAGCACACTCAGAACTGAAGGAACCAGAAAAAGAAAGTAAGAATATGGTCTTGAGATCCAGGAAGTCCTCACAAGAAAAAGTATCTAAAGAGAGAGAAAAAATCATCGAAGAGGACGTTCAAACACAAATGCTTACAGAAAGTAAAGTCAGCTATGTTACGCCAAAAGCAGAAGAGCTTATAGCTGTGGTGCAAAATCCCAGTCCCGATACAGTCAAACAGACAGATATAACTGAAAACTCACCTGCATCACCTGCACTGCCAGTCCAATCCAAGGAATCTAAGGATAAAACACTCCTTCCATTAAAAAGGAAATTTAGTCCAGAAGTTTCAGTAACACCAATAAAGAAAAAAAGAGGTCCAAAGCCAAAACCAAAAACAACACCGCCTCAGCCAGCCTCAGACGAACAGGTTGTCCCCTCACCTGAAGATAAGAGTGTTCAAGGGCCCAGAAGGAGAAGAGGACCCCTCAAAAAATCCCCTGTGGTTGATACCATGACCAAAGACACTCCTTCAAACATCAGTGGAGCTAACATTAGTGATGTGCACGTGACCCCTCAGTGCCCCACCAAAACAAAAGTTCTCCCACCTCGCAAAGGCAGAGGGCAGAAATACGAGGCCATGGTTCAGAAGATTACATCTCCTAGCCTAAAGAAACATCTCCCAGCTACTCAGCAGGACAGCAATCTAAGTGATGATGCCACAACTAAGGCTTTATCTGAATTTGTGCTAAAGGAAGGTGAGACTTCTATACAGTTAAGCAACACAGAGACAATCGAGTCTATAAAAGAAGGAGTGAACCAGCATGAGGGAACAGTCAAAAGAGAGATGTCACAAGAAAGGGAAAAGCAAGAGGTGAGCCAAATGACGTCGACACTGGAGGGAGAAGGAGTGAGGGCAGGAGAAGAGGCTGCACATAAGAATGATATAAGTCAGGAAAATGTTAAAACAGAAATCAAGCAGGATGCCGACGTAGATGGCAAGGTCTGTACTTCACTTCCAACCCAGTTAGAAGTTGGGACTCCAGTTGAGAGGACACAACAGGCACAACAGGAGAGTATATCGACTGCAGACACCAAGTCTGCCAGAACTAAAAGGAAGAGATGGGCAATGGTGGAGAGTACAGATGCCTCAGTAGTAGCCTTAGAAGCAGATAGTCTCATAATTACGACTCCAAGGCTCGCCAAACAGAGGGCCATTAAAAATAACCACGAAATGCATCTTAAACAAAGAAGGAAGAAAAGAAAAGGTGATGCTCCTTTAGAGAAAACAGAGACAGTGGAAGAGACAAACAATGAAACTGCAGAAAAGCAGGAAAAAATTGAAGAAAACATGACAGCCACAGAGCTCACAGTACCGCAACCAATTAGTCAGGATGAGATCATAGAACCCCTCCAGGCTGTCAGTGCAGAGCTCGTTCAAAAACCTCGAAGAGGCCGAAAACCCTCAGCGAACCCAAGCAAAAGGAAAAGAGGCAAAACCCTTACAGAGCAGATTCCCGGCAAGCCAGTAAAGGTCCACAAAAAGCCTGGGCCCAAACCTGGAATGAAGGATGCCATTGAGGTCATTGAGGAAGTTGTAAGGGCAGCTGGTTGTGAACAGGCCAAAAAAGAGGAGCGAGAGAAAGAAGAAATGGAAAGAAGGGGAAAAGAACCTGCAGAAGAACAGGAAACCTGCACTGTGGGTCCTGTGGTGACCGTAACAGAAAAACAAACTGAGGTCATTGCTGTGAAAAGAATCAGACGCAGACCAGCCCATTATAAGTCAAAGCTATCTTTTTGTCCCTATGTGCGAATTAACAACTCCAGAGACTTTTCCTCTTGGTGTGCCATAGTCAACAAGCCTGACGACGCTGTGGTGTTCCAGAGGCGCCGAAAAAAGGGCATCCTGCGAATGAGGAATCCTTTCACAGTTGCAAAGGTGGTGCCGCACACTGCCGCCATGCTGCTGGGACCCATGCTAAACACAAGCCTAATTGGTAGGTGTCTTACGTGTTGCCTGTGTGGAAAACCGGCAAACTACAAAGACCTGGGCGATTTGTGTGGACCCTACTACACAGAGGAGAGCGTTCCACGCAAAGTCCTGACCATCACACATGCGCAGTTCTTCAGGGACGAGTCAGACAAGATCGAGGCGAATGACGGTGGCGTGATCGAAGAGCCGTGCGCCTCGTCGAGTAATGAAGGCGCGACGAGCTCAGGAAAGGAGAGGAGCACGGAAGCGTCCTCTCAGGAGGCTAGTGGCAGCAGGCATCACCACTGGCGCTACCGGCGGCCGGAGAGGCCAGAGAGATTGTGTCAGGAGGGGAGTCCGCGGAGATTAACTCTAAGAGAGCGGTTCAGGAAAATGAAGCAGCTCCAGACTGTCAGCACAGGGGACCCAGGGGACCAAGGAGGCAATGAAAGCAAGTTCCAAAGGCTACAAATGGAGGCAGAGGCTAAGGAACACTGGGCTCATGAAAACTGTGCCATCTGGACCAAGGGAATAATTATGGTATCTGGGAGGCTATATGGACTGAAGGAGGCTGCCAACAAGTCAGCCCAAATGGTATGTTAGCTTTTATCACCTGAGTCTTAAACTATTCTGAACTAMATGTGGAAATAAAAAGACAGGCAATAGAAATGCATTGAAAATGGCTGCAAATGTATAATATTGCTTGTGTTGTCTTTCTCTCTCTCCCCCTTGCCTCGTTGGTCTTTTTGTTTATTTCTTTGTTGGTCTTGTTCCATATGTCCATTTGTCTGATGAACCCCAGAACTGCTACAAGTGCCAGATTGTGGGGGCGTCCCTCAGCTGCTGTTGGAGAGGCTGCTCTTATAAATACCACTATGTCTGCGCCAAAGAGATAGGTAAGAGACTTTGGTGGGAGAGGAAGAGAGAGAAACGAGAGTTGAAAAAGCGAGAAAAATCAAAGCGAGCGAGAAGAAAGGTGGTAAATATGCAGGTGAGCCTAGGGTTTTTTTTTT